CCTGGCATTTGACAGCCATCTGCTATTTCCGCCATGATTCTCAAGCATGGGGGCCAGCCAGCGGCCACATTGTCTAGTCTTTTTGAGAGATAAGCCACTGGCCTTTTTTAGGGTCCCAAAGTTTGAGTAAGAACTTCTTTTGTCATCTCATTATTTTTATCTATATATAGGATGAAAGGTTTTGTCAGATCTGGCAGTCCTAACACTGGAGCCGTCAGCAGCGCTCTTTTTATCTTGTCAAAAGCTTTCTGGTGTTCTTCAGTCCAGACAAAAGGGGTCCCACTCTTTGTTAAAGGATATAGAGGAGCTGCTATTTCAGCGAAACCTGGTATCCATAGTCTACAAAATCCTGCGTTTCCCAAGAACTCTCTGAGTCCTCTTGCTGAGGTTGGTGGGGGGATAGAGGCTACTGCCTGTTTCCTGCTTTTCGTCAGCCAACGTTGTCCTCCCTCCAACCTATAGCCCAAATAGTTTACTTGCTGTAGGCAGATCTGGGCTTTTTTTGCCGAGGCCCGGTATCCAAGTTCTCCCAGTCTCAGTAGGAGAGCCTCCGTACCTTGCAGACAGCCAGCTTCTGTCTCAGCTCCTAAGAGGAGGTCATCCATATATTAAAGAAGCATAATCTATGGGTTTCTTACCCAAAAACCAGCCAAATCATCAAACAGAGTAGGGGAGTTCTTAAATCCTTGGGGAAGTCACATCCAGGTTAGTTGTCCCGATATTCCAGCTTCAGGTTCCTTTTATTCAAAGGCAAAGATGGGCTGGCTAACCGGGCTCAGCCTTAGGCAGAAGAACACATCCTTCAGGTCAAGTACAGTATACCACCTATGACTAGGAGGTAAAGAACTCAGGAGATTATAGGGATTAGGAACAGTGGGATGGATATCTTCTATCCTCCGATTGACTTCTCTTAAGTCTTGAACTGGTCTATAATCATCTGTCCCTGGCTTTTTCACGGGGAGCAATGGGGTGTTCCAAGGGGATTGGCAAGGGTGAAGTATGCCCATTTGTAAAAGTCTTTGGAGGTGAGGCCTGATTCCTTCTCAGGCCTCTTTGCTCATAGGGTATTGTTTAATTGAAACCGGAGTTGCAGATGGTTTTAGTGTAACCACTATTGGAGGCTGGTTATGTGCTAGTCCTGGGCCTCCTGTCTCGGCCCATGCCGAGGGGATTTTACTTAGCCAATCAGATATACCAGGAATTCCTACTATCGGTCCCTCATATAACCGATGTTCATCTTCCAGCCGCAAGGTTAATACCTGTAGTGGAGCTCCATCTTTTCCTTTTACAGTAGCTCCCTTTGTAGTGAAATGGATGTGGGCTCCCAACTTGGAGAGTAAATCTCTCCCAAGAAGAGGGTATGGACAGTCAGGGACCAATAAGAACGAGTGAGAGACTCGTCCTGTGCTGAGGTCCACTTTTCTTTCTGTGGTCCAGATCTGTATGTTTTTCCTCCGGTGGCCCCTTGAACCCAGGCTGTCTTGGAACTCATAGGTCCCTCAGTTGTTGTTAGGACCGAGTGCTGAGCTCCAGTGTCTACCATGAACTGAGGTCCATTTTTCTTTCTGTGGTCCATCTGTATGTTTTTCCTCCAGTGACCCCTTGGACCTAGGCTGTTTTGGAACTCATAGGTCCCTCAGTTGTTGTTAGGACTGAGTGCCAAGCTCCTGTGTCTACCATGAAGGTAGTCAATTGCCCTCCTATCTTCAAGGTTACCCTGGGCTCAGGGGGGAGCTCCTGGCCCCGACTTCCCTAGTCCCCTAGAGTCAGAACTGGGGTTGTTTTCTTTTGAAGTCTGTTCAGCTTCAGACATTCTTGAGCCCAATGTCCTCTCTCCTTGTAATAGGCACACTGGTCTTTATCTACTTGGGGCTTTCTCTTGTCTCCCAGGTTCCTACCTGGTCCTGGTCCTGTTCCCTGAACTACTGTGGCCAAAATTTTAACTTAATTTTTTAATTTTTTTTTACTAAATCCTGTAAGGAGTACCCCTGAAGGCCCTCCAGCCGTTGGAGCTTACCACGAATGTCAGGAGCTGATTGTCCTGTAAAGGCCATAATAAGATCAAAGGGGGTGTACATCCGATATCCTTCTATTAAGCGTTCTAGAAACCCTGCGGGGGTTTCATTTTCTCCTTGGGTTATAGCACGTACCTTTGCCAAATTGGTCGGGCGCCTTCCAGCCCCTTTGAGACCCGCTAACAGAGTCTGGCGATAAAGACAGAGACGCTCCCTACCGGCCACGGTTTCAGGGTCCCAGTTGGGTCTGGTCAGAGGAAATCCTGCATCTATTTCATTTGGGAGCAGAGTGGATCTCCCATCCTGCCTGAGGACATTTTTCCGGGCCTTCAGGGTGACTCACTATCTTTCTTCTGTGGTTAGAAGGGCCTGGAGGAGTTGCTGACAGTCCTCCCAGGTGGGTTGGTGGGTAAGGAGAATAGACTCTATTAAAGCAGTTAGAGCCTGAGGATCTTGAGAAAGAGAGAGGGGTTATGAGTCTTCCAATTATACAAGTCAGAGGCTGAAAAAGGCCAGTACTGGATCTGATCCCCTATAGTTCAGAGGGGAAAAACCTGGGCAGTCCAGGTTCCATCAGAGGGGCCCCCTCTATCCCTCCTTAAGTGAAGTCTGTTAGCTAGAGGAGGGGATTTGTCAGGTTCTGTGAAATCAGGAGAGGGATAAGGTAGTTCTTGGGGTGGAGGTGCCTGCGCAGGTGGATAGGGAAGTGGAGGATCAAGGAGGGTTAGGGAAACTTGGTCCTCAGAGAGGACTGGCTTTTGCTTCTTCTTCTCAGGGGCAGACTGAAGGGGCAGGAGGGAAGAAGTAAGACTTGGGGGGAGGGCAGAAAGGGTAGGAGGCCCCTGGTCAGTCACTTCAGTTCCCCTAGGAGGTAGGAATGGCCGTGCCCAAGATGTGGGGTTCCGGGCCAAGTCTTCCCACGTGACTACATAGGCCACCTGGTCCGGATGTCCATGTGGTCCTGGGTGGAAAATATATTCCTTAATCTGTAAGATAGTAGCAAGGTCAAAAGTCCCATCCCTTGGCCATCCTTTTTCAAGAGAGGACCATGCAGAGGAACAGAGACTCTGCCACTTCTTCTTCTGGACCTCGAGTGATAAATTGTGGGCCTGTTCCACGACCTCTTTCCAGTGTTCCAGAGTTAAGCTTAAAGGGGTAATTAGCAATTGACCCATAGTGGAGGTCACAGACAGGAGAGGGGGAGAGTAAGAAGGAAAGAAAGAAACTGAGAATATGCCACTCCAAATAATAATGACCAGTGGGTGTGCTTATGAACAAGTACCTAACGTTGCCCAGTTTTTCTTCTGCGGGGGACGTGAATTTATCTGGGATTCACGCCTGGGACCCCCTTATCCTTTCACGGGAGTCTTTTAGCGGCGAGCGCCCTA